GGATTTGTCGGTAAGATTGATAAGTCTAAAATAACACTTATTGGCTTTCTTCAAAATATTTTTAAACGGATTTTATGATTTTCATTTCCTTCATTATATACTCATACATATACATACATACATACATACATACATACATAAATATTTANTCTTTAGACCTTTTAAATTGGACCTTGCATAGCTTTAGCTCCATCAGTGCAGATGTCGATGCACTTTTTTCAATCTATTTCATTATTTCGAATGAAAACATTGATTTTATTGAAAATATCAAAACCCGTAGTTGTATGTTTTAGGCCGTGGCACATTAACAAATCTTCGCAAAGCTCATCGTTGTACTGATATTTCACAAAACCTAAAAGTACTGCCAATCCGCTGACATCTATTCTAAAATTAATGCTCGGTTAAATCGAAATTTTACTAGACTACAGGTTCACTCGGCACTAACGGCACAAATAGACGGGTAAATTGAGCGGATAAACAAGTTGTTTGGACTGTTAAAAGGGAAATCGGTGTTCGTACTGGGATATTTTAAAGCAAGTTTTTGTTTTTTCTTGTGTTAATAATTTACAGCAAATTCATTAACATGCGCCATTGTATAATGAAAGTCAGATGTACCACTTCTATTTACGCTTTGTACCCCTAGGGGTACATGTACCCCCCGTTGAGAACCACTGGTCTATGAGATGACTATTGTTTTTCTATTGGTTAAATTCTTGGTTTTGCTATTTGTGGTTTCAATAAAAGTCCAGTTTCACTGGCTCATGTTCCAAAATGTCATTTCAATGACAAATATGTTGTGTTATTACTGCTTTCCACTGCAGAATCTCAGTGAAAATCATTCTGGATTTAGACAACTTTATTTTATACTATCTGCATTATAAAATTTTGTTGTTCTGGAATCATGTATCTTATCATACAAAAGAAAATGAAAATTAGGCTTTATTCATGTAGGTTAAAAAGTTTACTGTGTGTTTGTTTAATTTTGTAATCACTGTAGCAATTGGTATAAATTTATCACTTCACATTTATTTCTGGAAAAACTATTATAAAATACTCTGTTTATAAATTGTATTGATTTCATAAATAAAAAAATTGCTGAGAAAAAAGCATTAACAACTTTATATCATTTTTAAAACTAACTAATGTATTATCTGACTAGTTTTACCAATATATATTAAACCACTGTAGAAATGTGCACAGGCTGCATATTTCTACAGTGATTTCTTTATTCAAGTTACATATCTTAATAAGGTGTATGTTTGAGAAACATGTTTAAAAAAAAGCAGCTCAACGTAGTTGAACAAGATAAAATATAGTGAAATAACTAGGGAAAAATTTTACTTTTGCCATTTAATGTTATAATTGTTGATTGTTTTTTGTAAGGTTTGCTTAATACAAATCTTGTTAATACAAAGTGCCAATTTTTAAGTCCTTTCACCTTTATATTAGCAGTGTTTGACTATATTTAGTAAATTTTAATTTTTTTAGTTATTATTAATTAATTAAGATAGTTTTGGAGGAAAAAAACAAAATAGATTGTTATTACAATAATAATAATAATAAGGTTAGATCGGGGATGCCTCTTTGGGGAGACGGAAGGGTTCATGATTGCCATACAGGATCAGGTCATAAACACTAAAAACTACAGAAAACACATACTCAAAGATACAACACTCACAAATGACACATGCAAAAAATGTCACATCATGCCAGAAACTATACAACACATCACTTCTGGGTGCAAGCTCTTGGCACAGACAGATTATTTACACAGACATAATCAAATAGCAAATATAATACACCAAGAGCTTGCAAAGAAACACAATTTGGTAGACATTCACGAACTATACTACAAGTATATTCCACAGACAGTATTGGAAAACTACACGCACAAACTGTACTACGACAGAGCCATAATCACAGATAAAACAATTTACCACAACAGGCCAGACATCACACTCATTGACAAACACAATAAAATCACATACATTATAGACATAGCCATTCCAAACACTCACAATGTACAAAACACATGCACTGAAAAAATTAGCAAGTACACAGAACTCGCCCAGGAAATAAGGCATCTGTGGAGGATGGATAGGGTGCTTATTGTACCTGTCGTTCTCTCCTGTACAGGTGTGATACCACACACACTACACAAAAGCCTGGGAACATTACAATTGAGTAGAAATACATACATCACACTACAGAAGGTCACTATATTGAATACATGCCACATTGTTAGGAAATTCCTGAATACAGACACACACACTGACACACTTCTTTAATTTTAGTTTTGTTTTGGTTGCTATGCCTTGACTTTGGTCCGGCATAGTACACAGCCACCGGTGTGAACCGAGTATAACTCACAAAACATAACAATAATAATAATAAAAGGTTTAATAAACAATGTCCATATAATTGGTTACTACACTCACTGCATGTCAAAAATGCATCTAGTATTCACCACTTTTCTAGAAAATATGCAACACTAAAGCAGTATTAAACTGTACACTTATATAGTGCATCCATTAAAACAAACCAAGTAAACATTAGACAAGGAATGTACTTTGGAAATCTTATTTGGTCACTCTAGTTGTTTAGTTCTAAATCCATTGTTAAACTGATTAAATAAATAATGCTAAATGATTACCAGATCACATTAGGCTATAATAATGCTACTATTAATAATTAAATATCAAGTAGTTTGATGTAGAGGTAGGCATTAGGTGCCATCTCTTGATAAATTTAATAAATTTAGAAGGTTCTGAAAGAAAAGAATTGGCCCAAAATGGGACTTGATCTAGCAACTCCAGCATATTGTGCAGATGTGTTGCCAATTATGTGAGCTCGAACCTCCATTAAATCTTTGCTTCCAGAACTAATAATTTTGAATATAACCATACTAGTCACTCATAGTGCCAACTGATGACTTGGAGGGATTCAGTACCCATGGGCTGTGACTCCCTCCAAATCAGTCGGCTGACTATTGCTTTACCCCAGTATGGTATATATATACACAAATACAGTGAGCAGTGAGTGATTGGTTAATGAACATAATCCGTTCCAAGACTTTGTTCTCTGTCCGAATTGTTCGTTAACCAATTATTGATTTACCATAGGTTTCTATGAGAATTTGATTAATTTGTTCTGGAGACCCCAAAAAAATAAAAAATATATACTTTTTTACTATGTTTATTCATCTATATATATAAAAATGAATGTGTGTGTGTGTGTGTGTGTGTGTGTCCTTCATGCATTACCACACCGTTTATCCGATTGCCGTGAAACTTTGGGAAGTTGTTTAATATACTCCGGCGAAGGTTTGTGGCGTAGTACGATTGCCATGAAGCTTTGGAAAGTTTTTTAATTTTTTAATAAACTCCCGCGAAGTACATTTATCCTACGATAGATGGCGCGCATTTACACGAGCATTCGCGCACAGTGTGTTCGATCGATTTCAAATTGTGAAGACCATTTCCCCCCTTCAAAAAATATCTCTATATATGCATTTGTGAACTGTTATTTACGATATTTGTAATAATTTTTGTTTAATCACTTTATTTCAACTTTTTTTTGCTAATTATGTATTCGCTCGAACTTCGTTAAAACCTTAACTGTACCCCGAACAACAACCGAAGTTGTAGGAAGAAATTCGCGTATTTTACCGATCTAGGTATCCCCCCTTTTCCAAATTTTAATATCGACTCAAAATAATTTAAAAAGACAAATTACAATAAAACGGTTTATTATCCAACTATCAGAAATTTCACAACATGCCAAGGAAGAGAGGAAGGAGCAATTAAATAATTAAAATTGTAAAGGATTAAAAATATATATATATAAATGGGGAATATCGCGCTTCTGACAATCGCTGCGAGTGTGTGGGCTAAATTTGGAGAATCCGTGCTTCTCGCGTGCACAACTGTACGTGGCCGGCTCATGCGTCGGAAAACCTTCCGATTTATTCGTGTACGCACCAGACGGAGAAACAAAAAATATCGTGTATCCACGAGCACTGCAATAAATAAATAAAATTGAAACGACACTTTGAAATGTTTTCCCGATGAAAATGAATAATAATAATAAGTTTCAATAAAAATGATAAAATGAAAATTTAATTTTATCATTACGAGTTTGCTTGAATTTCGTTACTTCTGAGATCGCAGCAATGCGCGACAGGTAAGCTAGTATGTAATAATAAAAATACATATATACATGGTCTTGCATTTTTATTAATCATGTTTTTTCCATTTATGGGGGTTAAAGAATCTGTCCAATGTCAATTGCTTTTCTGTCTTCTTCATGATTTTTCAGAAGTAATTAATAGCATTGTAATTGTAGAGATCTCTAGGCCTATTAACCTCAACCTGGTTTGGATGCCATTTTAAGACCGTTGTTCTGACATCCTCCCACTTCTTCAAAAGATCTTTAATAGCAGATATCAGCATAAATCTGTATTTTCAGAAGAAAACATAAAAGAATTCTTTCTGTCAGAAATATAAAAGGCTGGAATTACAAGGGAGAGTTTCAAAGTTCGGGGAATACTATCCGATCAGTATATACTGGGTAGAGCGTTGATGTTGACGTCTCCTGTGCTCTGAAAAGTTTCGAATTGTCGCCTGAAGACAAAGGAAGACCAATTGGTATTCGTTATTTTACATTGCTTCTTCTTGTGTTTGTTCAGTGACGTGTTCGTTATCCGATCATAAAAGGCTTTCATGAAAGTGTTCATTACCGATCACCCACTGTATAAACATCCAATAACTCAATTTTTAGATTAATGTCAAATTATTATAGCCTGATATAATTTGACGGTCATTTGGCATTAATTATCATTTAATGATAATTATTTAATATAATATAACAATATCATAATAGTGATCTTTATGAAATTATGGAACATTAATTTTGATTGGTAGTAATAAATACAAAATAACTATATAATAATAAATTATGTTTATTAAATATGTACTTATCAAATAAATTCTTAACATTAGCAGAAGAAGGTGTTAATTTGTAATTTCTGTCACGGAGTACTTCGAAGCAATAGAAATGGACTTTCAGAGAATATGCTAACATGCACTGAATGTGGAATTCATGGTAAATAGTATTAGAATATTTACATAATATTTAGTATTAATTTAAATAAAAATTAACATAATGACACTTAATATAATTATTATGCCTTTTTTTAATTATAGCACATCCATCGTGTTTAAATTATTCGCCTGAATTAGCAGCTCGGTTACTAAACAGCAGGTGGCAATGTACAGATTGTAGATCTTGTAGAATATGTAATAGAAGAGAGAATATTGTAAGTATTTAACTTCATTATACCTTTTTAAATTACAAAACTTTTCAAACAAATTTTAGATTTATGTAGTTATTTGAAAACTTTTCATCTGAAGTTTAATAAAGAACTGCTCTGAAAGTCAATGTCTATTATTGTTATATTCAATTTGTTAGTGTTGTTCCTAATTTGAGAATGTTAATAAGAAGCACACCATTTGTGTCCCATAATACTACGGTAAAACCTTATTAATTGAAATTCGTTGGGGGAAATTTGAACTTCAAGTTAAAAAGTTTTGAGTTGTGAAGGTTCATCTAAAATTCAAGATTTTGTGCATCAGTTTATTGGTGGCCCATAATAAACTATTCATATAATATTTCTGTGAGTTATTACTTAGAATCATCATATCAATGTAAACCTCTTGGTGTTGTTCAGAAACTCATTCTTAACTGAATGGGTAAATAAAATACTTTCCTGAATGATTGATCCATTCACTCCTAAGTGTTTAGTAAGGATTTTTTTAATTGCATTATTTTACACCTAGAATTAATTTGTTTTTTATCACAAAAATAACCATTCTTTACTACTTCAGCAAAACTTTAAAAATATAACAAAGGATAAAATTTTCACATAGAATTGGACTATAATTGTTTTTTAAAATTAATTTATCAAAAAATTTATTCATTTATTTATTATGTCAGCTAGTCAAAGAAGTCCACTGGCAATCAAATAAAACAAACAAATGCTCAGGAAAGGCAGGTTCAAATGGCTGTTATGGTGTCTAGGTCACATGCTGTCTGGAAGACACCATCACACAATAGGATGTTTATTTTTAGTTATATGTAGTTCTAGTACTTTATAGAATGTTTCTGATTAGCTTATTCATTATGGAAAATTAAAAGTCCAGAGAGTTTATGAAAATACTGTATCAAAACCCATTCAAGTTAACCAGTTTGATTTAACATGTAAATCCCTATGCTGGACAATTGTGGAAAAAAAATTACTTTGAATAAATGCAACTTTAAGTTATCCTGGCTTGAGTTAACTAGTTTCCATTGTATTACCACAATTTACTTGACTGAAGGCATGGATTTGAGTTTCTTGATGGATGATTGCTGCTTGTGGTTATGAGGTCACAAAATGGATAATTGTTTTATCTCCATCATGATGTGTTGTAGGAAATGGTTCCCTTCAATTACATAACATAAAAAATATATAAATAAGATTTCCATCTACTGTTATTCATCCTCTGACAAACTGTTTGACACTCAATGAAAGATATCTTCCAATCCAAACTGTTCGTGGATAACATCGTATGCACTACTAAGTAATACATTCAGTTTCTATGCTATTTTTTTAGTGTAATTCACTGTGTTTCCAAATCAGTGTATTTGCCCACAAGTTCTCTGTAACACATTATATACTTGGCCATCCAGAACCAACAGTATCATAATTATCATTCCATTAGCAAACATATGTATCATTTACATACTTGATTGTCCAATATGATACTTTCTCTACATACTTTGACTAATTAGCAATGAATTTCCTCTAGCGAAACACAATTTACGTTGAAAAACCGTATCATTATATGATTTCTCAATCTTATCTTATCGTTACAGTTGTTTTCAGTAGGTAGGCTCTGATTAAATTGTTCCATATCATTGTGAGCATTGTGGAATAATACACAACCTGCAATAATATGGCAGTGATAATTAGCAAGTTATTTGATGTTCAATGTGATATGAAAATTTTTCACACTTATTGATTAGTGTTAAAAGATATCTGGCAACAGAACTTACTTGAATATGCTAAATATTAATTGTATGGAGGTAATTTAATGAGATGTGAGACTAAATGGAAAACATGAGTTATTGCATTATTATTATTATAATTAGTATTATTTTTTTAAAACTTATTCCTTCATAATTAAACATACCTGGATCAGTAATGCTGAAGTGCTATTATGCCTGTTCTGTAATGATCAGCTTCAAGGTCATCAAAATACTGCTCTGTTGCAGCAATAACTTCTGACTTAAATTTCTTTCTGGCAAAGAAAAGTTTTTGCTTGGGGAACAGGTGAAAGTCACTTAGCACTAGATCTGGTAATAGGGTGATTGGGGTACAACTTGGAATTGCAATTGATCCAATTTCTCTCAATGTGATCTATGTGAGAAGGTGCATTATCATGATAGAATAGCACTTTTTTCAAGTCATTCCAGCTCTTTTTTTCAGTAATTGCTGCTTTCTATTGGTCCAGAAAAGCAGCATAATATGGCCTGTTGATAGTTTGATCCTTTGTAAGGTAATCAATGAGAAGTATTCCATTCAAATGCCAAAAAATTGTGTTCATTACCTTCCTAGCTGATGGAACTGGCTGGTGAATGACTGCCATGGTGATTGCTGTTTAGATTCTGGAATATAGGGATAAAGCCAAGTTTCATCAACTGTAACAAAACAGTGCAAAACATTTACTTGGTCTTTGTTAAACAACCTTAAATTGTTATTGGACATTCATGCTCTTACATGTTTTTGATCAGCATTCAGTAAGTGCAGCACCTATTGCTTATATCTTAGACATGCCCAATTTGACATGCAAAATGTGATTTATGCATTCAGCCAATATGCCTATTATTCTAACCATCTCCTCATTGTTTGGTCTTCAGTTGCTCAAAACAAAATGCACTTTATTGATTATTTCTGGATTTGTTATTGTTTTTGATGGTCCAGGACATTTGTCTTCAAGGCCCATATTACCTTGTTTAAATTATACAACTTTTTACTTTTGAAGAAGCATTGTTTTCCATCATCTTTAGTGACAAATCCTTGTTCTGTTTGGAAATGGAAAACCAACATGTTAGTGTGGAGAACCAATGTTTGCCTCACATTGGTCACATTCTCTGTTGTGTTCATCATCTTAAAAAACAAATATTGAATTGCACATAAATAGTGATTTTATCCATTTTAGCAATTTCCATTTGTGTGTCTTGTGTAAACAGCTGTATCATTTATACTTAAGGTTATAAATCAACAAAACTTCACCTGCCACTATAAAAAAGATGGGAAACTCAAAAATAATGCCAATTTTATCTCCTAGAAGGCTCTAGTAGTTGAGTCTCACATCCCATCAATCACCCTTGAATTATTCACAAATAAGAAGACAACACTAATATGTATATATATGTGTATATAAATATATATGTGTATATATATATATATATACATACATATATATATATTTACATACATACATACATACATATATATACTTGATGAACTCAGCCTTTAGGCTCTTCCCCCATCTCAGTTTGTTCAGTCCAGCAACAATAATTTATAATTTAAATTTTAATTATTATAAAATAACAAACTCTGGATGAAAAAGTTGCTTAAAATATTTCATTAAATATAATAATTAAATTCTGAAATAGTAAGGATTTATTGAAACAGATTTTAATTGCATTACCTTTTATTTTCAGAAAACTATGTTATCTTGTAACTCTTGTCAACAAAGTTATCATTCAAATTGTTTACAACCTCCTGTCTCAAAAAATTTAAAAGGTAAATTATTCAATTAAACTTACATTTAGTTTAATATGCTGTTAATTTTAATTTTAGTAAAATATTACAAAACATTATACAACCCCTGGCAAGAATTATGGAAGCACTTCATCTAACACTTCAACTAATTTCATTGTGAGAATATTTTTATAATGTTTTAAGCAAGTAACAAAGATATAAAACAAGTAATTAATACAAAATAATAATCTAATAGTAGTCATGCATTTTGCTTATATTAAGAATAATTTGGACAATCTACATAGCCATTACATAAATGAAATATATAAACTTTTTTAACATCACAGAATAAAAAATTATAAAATTATCTTACATTTAGTATATGTAAAACATTACTTGTTATATTGTTTAGTATGCAAATAGTAAGTCTTAATATAAAGTGAATGCTCATAGCCATTTAAATGATTTACTCTTCTGTTAATGTAACAAAACCATGGCTCTTAGAAAGGAATTATCCATTGAAACAATTGGAAAGATTGTAAAACTCGTTAAGGATGATAATTCAACATAGTTGCAAAAGATGCAGGTTATTCACAGTCATCAGTCTAAAATTTGATGCAAGTATAAACAGATTGGGCATATTATAAAAGGAAAACATACTTTTTCAACCAAGAAAGATATCAAAGTGTTGGGATAGGAAACTAAAAGCAATATATGTTGAAAATAGGACATGTACAACAAAAGATGAATGGAAAGTGGAAAGAAGAGGTGTTAGTATCAGTGACAGAACAGTGAGGAATTGTTTGAAAGAAATGGGATTTTTATATACAAAAGCAAAATGAAACTGGCATTGCCACAAAAACCTAAGAAAGCAAGGTTACAGTAGGCCAAAGCAAAACATTCATGGACTATAGACAACTGGATAAAAGTTTGATATTAAACAATGAATCACAGAAATGATGCTGAAAGTTTGTCTAGCAGTTTTAATGAAGCTTACAGGATGATTGCCTAAACAAAATTCCCTATCAGTTATTAATTGGGGTTGCATATTAGGTAATGGATCAGGTGAGCATGCCATTATTACATCAATAGTTAATGCCCGGGTATACATTGACATTTTGGAGAACTTGCTTATTTTATCCATTGATAATATATTTGGTGGTAATGATGTCCAACATGACAATGCATATTACATGACATGTCATAGGACTTACGATTAAAAATTTTCTTCAGCAATAGCACATCAACACAACAGATTAGCCAGCAAACAGTCTGTATTTCAACCCAATAGAAAACGTATAGTGCAAATTAAAGAATTTGGTCCAGGATGGAACTCCATACTGCAAATCAGATCTCTCAACTGATATTTAGAAAAACTGGAAAGCTATTGATAGCAAATATTGTTTTTCATTGTCTGAAAGAATTAATGCTGTCATAAAAGCTCAAGATGGATCAACAAAATGCTATTTAAATTATTTAAGTTGATTGATTACCTAACTTTTCCTCAGTTTTTTGTTTCCAAAACTTTTTCATGTATGTAAAATTTAAAATATTATGCATTTAATTTATATGCTTTTATTTTAATTGTTTAAGTCAAACTTAAGTAGTCAAAAGGTTTAACTATTATTAAAAAAGTATTTTGTATTAATTGTTTGTTTTTTGTTTCATTTATTTGCTAAAGACTTTAAAAAAACTTCAAAAATATCTTCATGATGAAGTGATTATATAATTTTTGCCAGAAGTTTTATATTGTAAAATAGGAATTTTGTGCAATAAAACATTTTGCTTAACATGGTTTATATTTTACTTAACCAGTTTCTTATCATTGATGACAATTAATTAATTTTTTTTATAAAAGTTCCCTTTTTATTTTATAATTTCAGAAGTTTTATATTGTAAAACAGGAATTTTGTGCAATAAAACATTTTGCTTAACATGGTTTATATTTTACTTAACCAGTTTCTTATCATTGATGACAATTAATTCTTTTAAACTTTTACTTTTGATAACGTTAATTTGGAATTAATACCATGTAAACTGTATTATAATAAATTAAAATAAATTGACTTCAATTTACAATTTTACACTCAATCCTAATTACTTAGTTCTGTTCTTCCTCATCTCTTACAATCGTTCATAAATTATTAGTTAAAAGATATCTTTAATACTATTTTCCTTATGAATTAATGATTACGTAAACGACATTCTTATAGTTTAATATTAAAATTATTGAGAAATTGATTAACTAGTAGAGCCTTAATTTTTCCAAGGCGCTTCCTTATTCCTTATGGCCTCTGTTCTCCAAGACTCTTTCTCTTAAAGCTCTTAAACTAGTTGGGGCTTACTCTAAAATAAATTTAAATATTTCATAATATAAGAGTGATAACTCTATAAAATTAACCTCCGTATATAAACTTCTGACAACCTAAAATCTCATAGAACAAACATTGTTTTAACTTCCTCATACCGATGTCCTGCAGAGAGTCATAATAATTATCCATCTTTCTCCTTATTTAAGTTGAAATTTTTAAAATATTACACCAGAAATTACTATAAAAAGAGTACTAAAAGTATTGGAAAATTGAATAAATTAATTCTCACATAGTCAACGTTACGTATATAATGTATTCCTCCTTCTGTTATATGAATCATTGATCAATAATATAAAAAAACAGCCTTTGATATATAACAATAACACAATCAGGTTGTTTATAGACTAGCAAGTTCACTGTGTTATTGAAGAAATGAATGACCTTACCCCAGGGATACCGGAAAAGGAAGCGATCAACACATCTTGCTGATGCAGAACAGGTTACTGCCCTTCATTCTACTTCCAGTTTGTTTTGAGTGCTGTAAAGTTAAATATTTGGTAAGAAATTCTTAATGTTTATAATTTTATAATATTTATGTACTTAAAAGTTATTATATAATATTTATAAAAAAATAATAAGAAGGTTTAAAATTTAAAATTCGATTTTTTATTATTAGATTTGCAGTTTGAAGATGAATTTCTTGTGATTATTTGAAGTTTTTCTATTAGTTTTATAGAAATTTTGATTTAGTAATTTAATTAAATGGTGATTTCTATTGTTTTTTAAATGAAATATTAGGACTTTCATCATTTATAATCAAAATTATTATGCTTAGAAATGCACTTAAAATATATAAATGATTTTATTTGTCCCCTTTATAAACGATTTAATAAAATTTTATATGCAATTTATATATTTTTAAAGCAGTTTATCTGTAAGTATATTTAATTTTCTTTGTTAATTTTTTTCTTAATTATGTCAAAATTAATCAAGAAAAATATATTAATGGTTTAAAATATAAAGTACAGTGTATAATAATTTTATATCATACAAGGCATGAAAATAGAAATAAAATAATTTACAAAATTTTGGGTCTCAGAAGACGAGCCTAAATTTTAAAATTAAGATTTTGTTCTTAATATATAAATAATATAAAGGAATAAATCATTTTTAACAAATATTTTTGAGGCCTTTGTATAGACTATGTAAGGCCTCGAAGACATATACAGGTACAATATATGCATCTTAAAAACAATATTCTTATAATAAGTGTATATAAATATTGATATTTTCATAATAAAATCCTCACTATTGACTCCATTGACGATTAAGACTACTACATAATATGTTGATGCATCAGAAGGAGTTAAACTTGTACTTCGTTTCAGGAGGTGCTCCATTTCACATCTTTCTCGTCGTCCAAAATTTCTTATGAGCCATTTGCATTGCGTTCAGATTTCGACAATTTTTCAGCAGTGTATTCTTGGGTCTTTTTCTTCCTTTTATGTTCGTTTTCTTAAGTATCTCACATACGTATGTTCGATGACAATTGAATCTTTTAGCTGCCTCTACCTGGCTAACTGCATCTTTGTTGTCAAATATTTGTCGCAATGCTCTTCGGTTTTTAGCATTCGTAACAACCGGCTTTCTTCTACTTCCTGGCCTTCTTTCCCCACGTTTCAGATATTTTATACTTCTTTAAAACATTATATACAATTTATTTGCTATTCCCTTCGGCTAAAAATTGCTCCATAATCAATTTTTTTAGTACATTTGTGCAACGTTCTATTAATATGTCCTCTTTTGACGCCATTTTTCCGAACTGAATCACTGAATCAGTTTTTTTTGTCTCACCCCGTTAATTTCAATGAATATTATAACTGATGATTTAAAATAATATACTGTAATTTTCTTAAATAACCGTAACGTATTAATTTAATTATTTAGAATTAACTCAATTTAATATTTTGTTATCCTTACAGATTCCTAACAACTCTGCATCCATGATTTTCTTTCGAGATATACGAATTTTATTAATCATTATTTTCTTTCAAATTCTAATATTTGTCCACTCTATTCATCTATCAAACAACGAAGAAAGATGCAAGGAAGAAAACAGTTGTCAAAATGAGAAAAAGTTGTGCAAATGCGATGCCAAATGTCTGGAATATGGAGACTGCTGCCACGATTCTCCTTACTCAAACAATTCGACTCAGAAACATAAGACTTTATGTGTCAAGAATATTTATATAAAAACCCATTGCCTCCTTACTTGGGAAGATGATTCTATGAGAAAAAAGTGTGAAAATTATTCAGAACTTTCGGATCCTTTGTCTACAGTACCCGTGACGTCCCTAGACAATGCCGAAACTTTCAGAAATTATTATTGCGCTGTATGCAACGACGTCACCGAAAACTTTTTATTTTGGACCGTAACCGTAACCTGCCCTCTCAAACATGCCCATAATCACCTAAATCTAGAATATTTGCAGAATCATTTACAATATAATCCCACTGCTGATAGCTGGGGTGTGTGGCTATCAAATGATAGAAAAGTATTTCGTAAATGTCACTTAGACTTCGTACCCGAAAGTTATCATATTCCCGATTCCCTCTTACGACGTTGCTCGTATTTGATATCAACCTGCTATGATTCGTGGCAAAACTCCGAACTAGAAAAGAATTGTACAGAATATCAAGCACCGGTATTCATAGGTGGGATCGGATACGATAATGTTTATTGTGCCATGTGTAACGAAGTGAAACTAAACGAAATTTCCTGTAAATNAACAGTTATTCGTACTAAGCGTTCGATTTACGATTGTGGTGTTTATTTTGTTACTTAGTTAATTTTATTTTCTTGAGAAAGGTCTTTTAACAAGACCGAAAACGTTTGAAAGTTGTTATAATAAAGCGTTGGCTGCAAGAAAAGGTGTTTTAGTAAGTGTGTTGATATTACAATATGCAGTCTAGAAAGAATTACTATCAAATAAAATGAAATTTATTACATTATTGCTCCTACTTTGATGTTTTAATACAGTAATACCCCGACTTACGCTACCCAGAGTTATGCGATTTTCAAATCTCGTCGATTCATCTTTTGTTTGAGCGCCATGTAACACTTGATTACTCACTCCCCCCACACTATTGTTCAGCTTACATGTTCGGATGTGTTGTGCGGAATCCACACAGAGCTACAATTTATTGTGTGTTATTTATTTCTGTGTTTGTTATATCTACGGAGACTCAAGAGACTCTACTATGTCATCCAAACGAAGTAGAACTAATTCTTCCGCATCAAATAAGAAAAGAAAAACTTTATCTTTGGAATGTAAAGTTAACATTGGATATGTTCATAAAGTCGAACGAGTTAAACGAGAATGAAGTCATCATTATTCCTATTTCGTTAGACTTTTCAAACAATTCGTTACTAACGTGTTTAACTCGTTTGACTTTACGAACGTACCCATTATTAAAGACTTTGATATAAAAATGAAAATTTGTGAATCGGCAAAGAAGTTTGATCTACCGGAATTGTCAGTCGGAACAATTATAAAAGGCAAAGAAAAAATTCTTGAAGCTGTGAAAAATGCTCAGTCTTTAAATTCGAGCATCATTCGTAAACGTCACGGCATTATCACTGAGATGGAAACAATGTTAAAATTATGGCATAATAATCAAGTAAATGTGAAAAATTGTAAAATAATATAGGCCTAATTTGTTATACATATGTATTATCTAAGATTTTATTAAACATTTTTTTCTAAATTATTGTTTTCTTTAGTCTCCGGCCCCAATTAAAAATTATTTGTACGTATTTATATGCGAAATTATACCCCGACTTATGCGAATTCGACTTACGCGGTTACCACTCAGTCCCACCTATCGTGTAAGTTCGGGGTATTACTGTATTTTGATAGAATTTTGTGCACTCTTTAAAATTCATATGCTTGTAATTTATTTTGTTTTATGCTATGAATTATTTTTTGATTTACTTTAACCCAAAAAGTTTTACCTTGTCAAAATGGACTCTTTAAATTTTGAATCTTTGACAAAATGATAATATGCTGTTTTGAGTTGTCTTGAATTCTTACCCTTAATAGATTTCTGAAACAATATCATTATCTTGATGGCATCTAAAGTACCACAGTTGTGTTTTTTGGGATTATTTGTGAGAATGCTACTACTATTGTACTACTGACTTAACTGCACTATTAATAACCATAGTACAACTACTTTTACTTCACTGTAAAGATAGTTGTACTATGAGAATGCTACAGTATAATTTAAAAAGAATGGAGTTGGTTTAAAGATTCAAACAGGCTTCAGTTTATTAGCAATAATTAAAGATAAGAAATACAAATACTGATCAGAATCAATATTTGTTAATACAATTCAGACTGTCAGAAAAGATATGTTAGTGAAAGATGCAGAATTACTATTTGAAATTCTAAGTATCACAATTAAAAAAAATGAGAAGAATATGAATACATTAGGATGGCAATTTATAAACTGTGGCCAGAAGACCTCTAAGAGTCCAAGAGTTAGTCAGGGAGGGGTTCACAAGTGATTTTTCAAACCAAAATTTGATTTTTCTTATTTAATTTCATTACAAAAAATATAATAAAAATACCATGTAATCGTTATAGTCAACTGCTAGCATTTCTCATTCATGTAAGTGCAATAAATTTAATCAAATACCTGCCATTAAGTGTAAAGTACAGCAGAAGGCATATCATATGAAAGAGGTCTTCAAGCTCATATGATTTAAAGACTATTATACCAGGGTATTCTACTGCATTAACCAGAGAATATGTATTTGCACAGAAAAGTTTATTTTTTCTGTTATAAACCAATTTCATGCAATTTCAGTTGTTTGTTTATCACAAACCAATGCTGTTTTTGCCTGTTATTAATTAAAAGCTTTAACTGAACTTTTTGTGTGATTACCAGCATTAAGTTTTTGTCAGAATAAATTGATCCAGATTGATTTTCTTTTGTTTATTTACATAGTTTATTCAAATAATGCAAAAATTCTTTTTTGAATCAAGATTTTTAAAATAGTATTGTTGTCCTAAGAAATTCCATAGAATTTTCTTGAAGTGTTTTTTTACAGAAATAAAAATTTTAACTAAGTTGTTCTAAGTAATTTAACACTAGTAACTTTAGACAAAATTTTTTAAAAAAATTTCTCAACATAAAATAAAGCTGAAGATAGAAACATTTGGGAACTTCTAATATTATCTGTGTTTGCTAAGTATCATGATGAATTATGCAAAATTGTTACTATAAGACATAAAGTCAACTTAAGCAGGTAGCTTTATTTTGTGGTATTTTAAAAATTATTTTTACAAGATTGCAGCTATTGTAACACATCTTCAAAAACTAGCAATGAATAGTTTTCATATCTTATAAAGTTCTTACATCTTGAATGGTTGTCACTTTTTTTATATAAAAATTCACAATGGTAGTATTTGAAATAATTATTTATTTTTTAGAAATTCTGATAAATATTCAAGAAAACTTCAATAAAGTTATTGAATTAAAGTTTTTTGAAGTCAAATATTAATATTATTGGTGTTTGTATGATTTAATTTTTTATTTTTATAATAATTTATCTTTCAGTGAACAATTAAAGTTATTTTAAAAATCATCTTATTATATAATTATTGTGTATTTCATTTCATTTAACTTTTTTTGCAATGTAATTTAATATTATAAACTTAATATAACTGAAATTTTTATTTGTTCAAACTAATAATAATCTGTTTATCATAATAATGTATTGTATAGGAACATGGAGATGTAGATCTTGTCTAAGAAGGAATAACTTCAAAAATAAAGACAGAAAGCTAGTACAGGAAATGGCAGCTAATGTTAAACAGAGATATCAGAAGCATGGAAATAAGATGAACATGAAAAAAGATATAACTAAGTATGTAATAATTTTTATTAATTTTCATCATCAGTATTTAAATATTAATTTATTATGGTTATTTTAGGGCATCTTGGGTCTCAGGAAATAAATTACAAAGAGAGAGACAGAAAAATTTGTCTGAGAACTTTTCTTCAATTTCAGATTCTGGTAAGTAATTTTCAGAATGAATGTATTTCCATTAATAATTGATAATAGCTTATAATTTTCTTCATTAAAAAGAAAATTTAAATGTTCAGTAAAAAATTTACAGATCAAAAATACTGTGTGAAAATTATTGAAAATTGGAAGTTTTCGTTAATTCTTATCAGATTTTCATGTTTCAAAGTTGATCAGTTATTGGTGACTAAGATAATTCTAGAAATTTTTTTCCAGAATTAGTTTTTTGCAATATAATAAAAATAAAAGTTTCAATGTTTGCCATTGTCAATTAAAATTTAATTTAAAAAAAAAACTATTTTAGTATTATTATAGTCATCATTATTGTCATATCAAAGCATATTACCATTTATAGATTTGTATAGTAATTTGGGATTTGTAACATGAGAACAAATTATTTTTAATTGTCAGGATTATCAAACAGTTTGCTATATGGAGCCAGTTTGAACATATATAGAACTGTGCTTTTTACTTTAGTAAGAAAATGTATATAACAATGCTCTCTGAAATGTTAAGAAAGAGCTTATTTAATTTAATCTAATATAAAGTTTTAATTAGAAGTATAATACATCACAACTGTTGGGATTATATATTCATATTCTGTTGCATATACATTTTGATATCATGAATGAAAAGTTTCACATATTTGCAGAATGAAGGGAGGAAACTTTTGACAAAATAATTCTATTTTCTACAACTTGTATAGTCTGGTATCATCTTTTGTTTTTTTCCTAAAGATGTCCATAATTGCATGAAGATTATTTGATGACAAATACTATTTCATTTTTGATGGAAGAGAATGTGCTGGTAACAATCACTATTTCACCAAAGAAGGGCTACAGTAGATTTGGATAACAAAGTCAAATTCAAATGACACTTGTTGTTTTTGCCAAAGTTTCTGGTTTGGCTAGCAGTCAATCCAAAGAGCCATTCACAAGACTTCATTGCTTTTCATCACCAAAAAAGTGTATAACAACAAATGCATTTGAAAGAGGCTAATACCTTCCTAAAGAAATATTACTCTACCAAGACTGTCTTCTGATCTGATAACCACTATCCATTACATCTGCAACAGTTACCAAGTTGGACCAATATAGAATTCAATACGTTGCCTGTGAAGCCAGTTGTGAGGGACCATAGTCCTGGCTCAATATTTAAGTCAGACGATGCACTATAACCTCATAAACACATTTATTTCTTGACACAAAAAACACATTTAACATGCATGAATGACACTGACTCAACAATCCACAGTCTGCCACACATCATCGGTCCATGAGATAGCTTTTCCTTCTCTTCTTGTCCAAAATTCCTCTCTCTCTTCTAAAACATTGTCTTTTAGCACCTGTGTCGACCCACTTCCTCGCATTCCAGGAACCATTTTTGATTTTATAAGAGGTGAAGGGGTGGAACTTGACACTAGTGTTCAACATGTTCTGCAACTGAGACCGACTGAGAGATTTTGGTATCAACCAAAGCAAAAAGTTGGTTGGAAGGCTGGATATGCAATGAAGTTGAAGAACAAGATTGAGGCCAACTTCACCTCATCAAAGCTGACCAAATTTTAATGGATTGGGTTAAGACTAAAGTTTAAGTTGCAGCTGATCACCGTCCTGATCATGCCATCTGAACATTAAACAAATTATATGTACTCAAAAAGCCTTATTTTAAAATAAATAAATAAATTTTAAACAGCTTTGAAATTTGAAGAATTGTGAGATCCATATCCTTAACTTAGAGATACCTTGATATGGCTTTTCTCATATTTTCCAAATATTTTCAGTATTGTTTTTCTCTTAAACTCTTAATTTGTTTATTTTTAATTTCAACAAATAATTGAAAATTAAAATAAAATTACTTCTACAATCTGTTTCAAATAATTAGCCACCTGATATAAACAAATCATCAATGGAGTGATTTTAATATTATTTTGCCAAAGCAATTTGATTACACTTTAATAAAATCATATCTTTAACTTTCGAAAATAATTTTTTTATATTTTTAAAGTCTAATTAAACAATACTAATTTGCAAAATATTGAAAAGTAATCTCTCTAAATTTTGGGAAAAATTCAAAAAAGTTCAAAAATATTATATCAGTGACAATGTTTACTTGTCACTGATGGTCAACGACATTGTTCAGCAAATTTATCATTTGTAATATTGTCTTTTACTAATATGAACCTACAGGGAAGATAAAACTCCTGCTCCAGTAGCAGTCTACAAACGAAAATCTGTTGTGTGAAATGCACTTTGTCAAAGGTGGAAATTTTTGTCAAAAAGTAGAGGTTTCATTATTGTTTGAAATGTCTTTTTTAAGAAATTAAAGTATGACAAGGTTCCCTTTTTTACAAAAAAAATTCTTTTTTACATTTTAAAAAATTTTGTATATATTTACTAATGTAAATCTAGCTAAAAACTTTAAAGGAAAATTTTTGAAAAACTTTTTTTTTATATGCTATGTATTAATCTTTGAATCTTTTTCTCTTTTTGTTATTTGCAAGTCAGGAAGTTTCCTCTCGTATATCTTTGAATGTAAGGGACCAGTAATGATTATCTGCTTTATAAATTTTTAGTTTATTCTTTTTAATCAAACAAATATATTTTTCTATGGTAATTTTTTATTATTATTTAATTACAGTTAACAATAGATGAAAAGTATGATTGGGGAAAATATATAGTTTAATTTGTGTATGTAAATTTACTATTTTGAAAGTGGTCCTAAAGATAATTTATAATTATTCAGGTAAATAAAATTTATTTACACAGGAAATTTCCTTTTATACTGTAATTTATAACAAAATTATTTAGAACTATGAAACAAAATAAAATTGATTTTTTTACATTGGGTACCAACTTAATTTGAATCACACTATACAATAGCCCCTCGTTATATCGCGAATTCGGATATATCACGCTTTTTTTTTGGTTCTCCAAATTTTAAAAGCACTCCAGTCAATAAATTTTAAAATATGAATTGCCATTGAATTTCTTTTTTACAACGAAATACCATATTTTTATTTCTATCATTGCCCTCCAAACTACCACTGCGGGCGAAAAAATAAATTTGTCAAGATATAAATTAGCATAACGGGTGGACGGATCAATTATCATTTATGTTTCCATTAAACAGGGCATGCTCAGCAAATCTTAGCGTAACTTATCACACTACACCTTTTTTTTTTTTGCTGAGATAGTTTTATTGAAAAACTATGAAAAACTAACATTTTTGCTTACTCTATAGGCCATCCTCAGGCTTAACGATAGAAAAAAGAACATTGGCGTTCCATTAAATAGAATACATAAATACAAAAAATAATAACAGAAAAAAACAAGAAAATAACTGAAAAAATAATTCAAATGCAAATAGAATACAAAACAAAGCCAGACCTAGTGATAGAAGATAATAAATAAAAATAAATGTACTAGTTAATACTTTAGATAAACATTGTAATAAATTGTTAAGGAATATTTGATGAAAGAAGTAACTATAAACTAAGGCAAGGCTACGAGTTCGTGTTAAATTTGTTGACTATAAATTTCCACACTGTTGGTAGGCTTTCTGCGTCCCTTGCATTTATGCACGCCTCTTCCAGTTTGCTCTTGTAAATTTCAATTTTTTCAGCAATTTTTGCTAGTGTTGGGGGAGTACAAGAGTTTGACAATACCCGCTTCATCCCATTTTATTATTGAGCCTTGTGCCTGCGCAAACTAGGAAAGTACCATTGTGAAAGCCTTTTCTGACGTCATACTTGTGTTCTTTAAGTATTAAAGAATTAACTAAAGTTCTAAAGTATTAACTAGTACATTTTATTTTTATTTATTTTTTTCTATCACTAGGTCTGCTTTGTTTTGTATTGTATTTGTATTTGAATTATTTTTTTCAGTTATTTTCTTGTCTTTTTCCGTTATTATTTTTTGTATTTAAATTTATGTATTCTATTTAATGGAACGCCAATGTTCTTTTTTCTATCGTTAACTTAAGCCTGAGGATGGCCTATAGAGTAGGCCGAAAATGTTAGTTTTTCAATAAAACTATCTCAACTATCTATCTCCTTCGCAGCAATATTAATTATAACCTACACCTAAATGCACCTAAATGGGTGTTGGTTACGTAAACGTCAATTAATACGATATAACCGCGAATAAAATTCGATATTGAAAAACTAAGCTTATTTTATATCAGAAACACTTGCTGATGAAAAAGTAGAGGATAGAGATTCCATAGTATGTATAATATGTTTAGTATTAGCCCAGAATTTTTAGTTCTCTGTTATATCGCGGTTTTTTTTTCTCCCGACAAGCGCAATATAATGAGGGACTACTGTATTTAATTGTTAGTAAAAGTTTTAATAAATTAGTACAACAGTTTCATTTTATAGTCTGTTGATATTAAAGTTTTATTTGACATAAAATTTATTATGGAAACTTCCTTATTTAACTTCTCTACTAATAGATGTCTAATGCCTTTAATATTTGTAACTAAAGTTACATTTGATTTTATTTTTCATATTGATTTTATACTATTTTTATATACTGTACAGTCTTCAGTAAAAGTTGACTTGTACTCAAAAGGGTTTTACATTTTTTAGATATATGCCTTGATATATACTTATTTGAAAATACTTTTTATTGTTATATATTAAAATTGATATTTATAACTTTCTTTTGGAATGTTGAAGTAGGCAGTTTTTATGCTTAAGTATAAATGTCCAGACTCGTTCTTAATTAAATTTCTTTTCTCTTTACTTTTCCAGCTATTATGTATACATAACGAGAAAATATTTGAATTGTGTTAAATTTGAACCTTTGCGTGTTTTGCAAATCTACATGATTTGAGATCCCTGAACCCAAAAAATCAAAATAATGAAAAAAAAATCCACATGTGTGTTGGCATCTATTTTGTTTAATATTTCTGAATGAGGCAACGATTAATAAACAGAATTTGTCACAGTAGCTCGTGTATAAGGGGCAGTAATGCCGTTAAATTTTGGTAGTTAAAGGTCAAGGGGTGGGAAGATAGATGGGATCACGTGTCATATCTCGAGTGGAATCAGACTCAATGAAGATTTTACTTGTTATTAGCCTTTACAATTTTTTTTATTATAAAACTCATCCTTATCATTAATATTAAGCTATTTGCCATCCTATAATAATTAATAATATAAAAGTTTTTATAATAAAATCGCATACCACATGGCACCACACACAATTTTATTTAGTATACTGTGTGTGTATATATATATAATGTATTAATGTATACAAGGTGTATCAGAATGACGTTTTAAAAATTTGGGGGATTGTAGAGGATGAAATTTTGCATGTTTTGATATAAGGAACCCATAGCCAGAAATGTGATATAAAGTTTTTACAGCACTTTGCCGTCGGTATGCTGAATGAAACAGCAGAATACAGTATTTATGACAAGTTTTATTGACAAAACAATAGAGTACAATCAAACTGTACATTGAATCAGTGGCTACACTACTTTAGAATAAATGTTTAATGTGACGACCACCAACTTCGTTACAAAATGTGCAACGACGAACCATGTTTTGTCCGACTCTGTAAGATGCCACGCTGCTCTCTGATGGTATTAAATGTTGTAAAGATGCGCTCCGTAAGCTCCTGAACTGTTCCTACAGGTGTTGCGTACACAAGTAGCTACCAAAGTAAAGGGTGGTCAAGAACTTCCTACCGCTGTAGAAACTTTATATCACATTTCCAGCTATGGGTTCCTTATAACAAAACGTGCAAAATTTCATCCTCTACAATCCCCCAAATTTTTAAAACGTCATTCTGATACACCATGTATATAAGGTAATCTAAATTTTCTTTGCTAGGGGCGTCAGATACTCTTGCGCCGTCCCGGGCTGGATAATAGCAGAAAAATTTTCAACGCGTAAAAAGTAGATAATCTCTCTATCGATTTTTATCTCTATCTTTCAGTTACGTCAGAAATTTCGGAAAACATTTTGATTTAAATTTTATATTTGTACGTTTCTGGCTAAATCATCATCCTCTCGCCATTTCTGTTAATTAACAGGCTTTTATTACCATTATAGTCGTCCGAATTTATAAGGCAAGTTCGTACGAAAATTTGAAGTAATTGAAATTTTCTGATAGTTTATTTTCGTCGAACGAGATTAATTTTTTTACCGTCGGTGTGATGCGTTGCGCTAGTTTTGTCAGATCACGTTACTCTCTTATAAATACTGTATTTTAAAAAATTTAATTATGCGTAATGTCGGGGGATAGCGAATGTTCCTCTTAACGATCCGCTTACGAACTGTCCAATTCTTTTCCGTAGTACCATTCGAGTCGGACCTTGTAAAGGAAGAATAATACATTTGTATAATCCTTCGTATAGTGATTTAATCGAAAAAATAATTTTCACGGTCTTCTGAAAATTTTAGCATAAAATTTAACCCGAAAGGGAGGTAAAGTCCGTATTTTTAAATAGGCGTTACCGTTAATTCGTATCTGGATGTAAATTAAATCGGCGAAACCAAACCGAATTTCTTTCTCTCCTACTGGTAGAGAGTTCTTTTCTTAGGGGGCTGTCCATAAATGATGTCCACAGTAGAGGGGGGAGGGTAGATCTTCGGTGGCCGTCCGGTTTATTTCATAAAATTTTATACAGTTTATGCATTTTATTATATTTATTTCAAAATTTCCTGTATGTTTTGTTTCTACTTATGTATCATTCGTAAAGTGATTAAAGTTGTAAAGGGGGTCAAGTTTTGTAAGTTTTGTTGGACGTCCGAAGAGGGGAGCTGTTTCGGAAACTTGGACAAACTGGAACAAGAAGTGGGAGTAGAAATTTCAAGAAAAAGGCGGACATAATTTATGGACGCTTCCTAAGTTGTAAGAAGACAGACAATCCGCTCGCTACCTCCTTTCAGATCCTAACCCATTCTACAGTGGCGTCCAATCGCCAATATAGAACGGGTTAGGATCTCGGAGGGGAAGCGAAATTCTTTTAGAAACCAATGAAAATCCGTTACAAATTTAAAAGCGAATTACCTCTTTGTAATTTAATAATAATCTTTGGTTTGGGCGCCGCGCCGTTACGGACGGGTTCTACTCAAAAATACCATCGTTTTTGTCTCTTGGGCTGGTTTTGTGGACGTAAGCTTTTAAATTTACGTCGTTACAAGAAAATTCTACGGAATGTACGAGTTACGGCAATTGCGTAGTATTTTTATAGGCGAATACGTAAAAAGTAATATTTTTACGCCATCTAAGAACATCGCACCACGAAGTCATTTTCTGCGGGTAATTACATTTCGGGCCTAACAAAAATTCACGAAAATAAAATTTCTAGTTCTTTCATCATCATTGATATTTTCGAGAATTTTAGCTTCGAATAAGGATGAAAAAACTATCATGATTTTCACCACATCGAATCACCGGGAACAACAGTCTTCCATTGCAGAGACGACCTTTTATTAGACTACTCGTCTGCAATGGAAGACTGTTTTCCCGGTGATTCGACGTGGCGAAAATCATGACATTTTAGTTTCTTCTACGTATTTTTTAATATGTAAATTTGTCAGCTATTTTTCTAAATAAATTAAATAAGGATACTCACCCAGCTTCAGACGCGCAAATTGGAAAAATCGGAGCAAATCGGAGAAGGGGTGCCATCGGTGGTAAGGAGAGACAAACAAAGCGCGGATCCGGAAACGTTCGTTTTTACCTTCCGGGTCCGAAAGGAAGTACGCAAAATTGGGGCGTTTTCCGGCCAATAAGTACCGCTCCTCTCTTCCCCGATAAAGAATGCCACTCACTTTCCGGTGTCATTCGAATGCCTAACCGGATTCTCGTCTTTCGAAGCCGGGTTACCCAACTATTTTGGACATTAATCAAGTTAGAAATTGATTAAAAACCTATCCATTTTATAAAATCGTCAAGCGAGAAGTTTATTTGGACGGCGGAGCTCGAAAAATGTGTCCGGTATAAAATTGAAATTTCTGTATTATCGACATTATATTTAAAACGTGCGCAAAAAAGCGCGCGATCGATGGTTTTATCGGGCACGTGTGACGTCCGCTCCACGCGATATTTTCGGTAAGTAAGAATTGTACGTTCTGTTTTTAATTAAAGCGACGGAAAGCGAATAATCGTCTTCCGATTGTAACCTTCGAAAGCCGAAAGGATTCGAAGATTAAAGAAAATCTGTTAAGATTTACCTTTTCGCATTCGACCATTAATTAATCGTTTTTCGTCGGACCATATTATTTCTGTTTTAAGTAAAAAGGATCGAATGTTCTTTCCACGTATCTGTTCTAAAGACGACAGAGTTTAAGGATATCGTATTTTGGTTTAATGGTTAAATTAGACGATTTATAAATAATTTAGCCACTACCTCTGTCGACTGCTACTATTTATTTTACGAATCTTAAATTACCATTTATTGTTCTTTAATGTATTTTTAAAATGTTATACTGTATTTATTTAATTTTATCGGCTTTCCCACCGGAGTTCTATCGTCACGATAATTCTATTTAAGAGTAATTCTTTGGAATTATTTTTTTTTTACTTAAAGTGATGTCGTTTCGTTACGAACCGACACAATAGATTTATCGTGTTTTACGATGTTCATTGCCGTTGTAAAAGTCGGTAGTTTAAAAGTGACGTGGGTGGTCGTGGTGTAACGTTAGGGGCAATTACGTGGTGTTAGGTAAAATCTCTACCGGAAATTCGTCCGTGAGTAAATTGCACCGCCGAAGGCACTCGACACCGTCTTTCTCCGCCAATTTTAACGCTCGTGGTCGTTAGGTAAGAGTCTCGAGTTTGCCGTTTCTCGTCGATACTTTCGGACATTTAACTCTCGGAAATTTACTTTTCTGTCCTTGGATAACGTTAAATCGGCGCTTAACCGCTTTGGAATCCAGTTTCTTAGATTAGATCGACGGGGTTCAAAGTTTAAAACTTCTTTCCCGTCAAACTCGACGTTCGTATTTAATCTCTTCCGATGTCTAGTGGATAATTATTTATACTTCATTAATTAAAACAATTTGTGAATTGTGGAATGTAGATGTGCGCTGTAGAACTAATCAGTTATTAATAAATAAAATTGTGCTTTAAGTTCCGATAGAAATATGTAGGACGTTCCCCTCCACGCAAATCTTCTGTATTTTGAAATTTTAATCTCGAAACTTAAATTTTTAAAATTTGGCTACGTTCTTAATCTGTTTGCGCCAATCTCTGAAATTATTTTCTAATTAAACTTAATCGAAGGTTTAATATTTAACGTTTTCTAATTTAAATTATATACATTTCTTGATATTTTTTAAGATCTTGATCGATTAACTGTTTGATTAAATACAGATTTAATATAATTATTGAAAAATTGAGAAATTAAATCTCTTAAAATCATTAATTATGTTACATATACTGATTTAATGATTAGAATATAAATTTGTTTTTCCTTTTTTTAGGTCTATTGGAATTTGATCAATCCAAACCGCAACTACCTTCTGGAGTTACTTTAAAAGATTTTAATCTTTTTAAGAAAACACAGGAAACTGCACTTAAAGTAAATAATTTCATTTTTTAAATGTAAATGAATTTTGTTTATATACTTATTTATATTATTAAAAGTTTTCTATAAATAAAACCAAAAATAGTAATCATTATTGAGGCAATTTTTTAAAAAAACCTGCTGTTTATATATTATTATTATTAATTTTCTAATTTATAATCTGTATCGATATCTAACAGTTGATTTGTCTGTCGTTATTTCAATATCCGTGCTGTACGCGTTTCTGAAATTCCCAATTATTATGGACGACGACGTGCCGAACTGTCATATAATATGTGTCGTTTCGTTAATCGTTTCCTTTTGATAATTCATGAACCTATGATAATTGCGTTCGATGTTGGTGTCACTAGTGTTAAGATAGCTCACTTGGAGTATTTGTACATATTTGTACTTTTTCTTAGAATATAATATCTTAACTTATTATGCATTATTTATTATTATGCTATGATGATATTTCTTTGTTGTTTTTTAGTCTATGATGGATTTCAGATACACTAATTTCTTCAGATTTCAAAAATCTGACAATATGGTAATGATAACTTCTATTACAAGTAGATAAGAAACTTAGCTGCAATTAATTATCTTCCGATTCCCATTTGCTAATTGAATGTTCGATCAACAAACTCCTGTCGTAATTTTGTTCGGTTTGTATGTACAGTGTATTTGTGGTTTGGATCCAAAAACTTTGGATATTATTTGAATAATCTTAATGTTGTGTATCTGTGTATAATTGGCAGATGTCAAAATCACTGTTTGAATAAAAACTGTGTTAGTTTGTTTATCTCTCTTATAAATTATATCTTTTCTATGATAAATAAGTTATAAAAGCAAACTTTGGTCTACTTACAAAAGAGCATATATAAATAATAATTCAAACTATATTTAACAATGTTTATTAGCCATTTGATTTGAACTCAAGTAGTGACTTATTTTATAAAAATTTATTTCTGTTCAATGAATCTTTTTAATATTACCATGTTGTGAATAGTCTAATATAGTTAAATGATTGAATTTACATTATTTTCATTTACAGACTTGACACAATTTTTTGTTTTGTATTTTTGAAATTATCGTATTAAGATTAAAAAAGCAAAATGGTAAAAGAAAGAAATTATAGAATTTGGATTGAAACTGAACATGAAAGGAATTTTATATACATATACATATACATAATGTCTAAATGTTATTCAAATTCAAAAGTTTTCTCAATCAGGTTTTACAATAACTTCTTGATATAAATATACAAGATAATCTTTAGATCACAAAACTTCTTTAGCTTCCAGCAAAACTTGTAAATGTAGCAATTCACAAATGTTTCCAGATCAAAACCACCTGAAAATTACATATAATTTTATATTAAATTATAAAAGATAATAAATATAAGAAATCTCTTCATGTAAATTTCTAAGACAATAAAATGGTAAATTGTACAGCTTAAAATATATTGGAAACTTGCCTTTTTTTGATAAAAATCTAATAGATTTTTGCAATAGTTTACTGTTGAAATGTAAGAAATTAGTGGATGCTTAACATATTAAAATGATGAATCTGTTTTAAAATTTTGAGGCATCATAATAGATATAAAATTTTATACAATAAATGCAAAAATGTTTTGAATGTTTATTTAAATCTGGAAATTGTTATTTCTAAAAACTGTTTCATAATTATGCAGAAATTTTCAAGATTGATTTTTTTTTTAATTAAAAAAATTAAGAAATGAGAAAGTAAGAATATATATATATACATTATACATATACATATAGAATAATAAATGAAGAAAGTATTAAAACTTTCTTGTTCAAGACTGTGCTAAAATGAGATCTTGGCTAAGCATTTTTGCAGACCATCCTGCTTTGTCATTGCTATTAAGGAAACAATAACAAAATTATACAGAAACCAAGCTCAGATTATATTGATGATAATGAAGTGATAAAGTTGGAATACTAGCCACTACCTGTGAGGCTATATCCTCTAAATTAATCAGTCTGGAAGCGAAGATTGGATGGTCTGGGTAGCATAGTTAGTAAGACATCTGCATAAGCAGAAGTTGTGGATTTGAGTCTCACTCTGGATCAATCTTTCTTTTTCTTCCAGACTATTCCAAATGAATTAATTCTAATTATTAAATTTAATACAAGATGGCAATTTAATCACCTTCCATTGGTCCAAATTATATAATATCAGTATATTTAATTAGCCAAGTTATTGCCCAATAATGAATCCAGTTTCATCATTTGATTATTGATTATAGAATTATAAGTGGTGTTATAGAAAACAATAAATTATGTGCATTATATTAGCTCAAGAAATTATACTTTCTGTGCTTATAATAGAAAAATGTTAAAGTATTTTCCATTACATTCAAAAAATGTATTGAAGTTTTTCTGATTTAGTTTTATCATAAATTCAGATTGATAAAATGTATTAATGGCACAATTCATTCAGTATTTGTACAGTTGAAAACTAAGAATTTGGAGCAATCAAAAATAATGTAATTTAAGGCCAAACAATTGCCGGATTATATTGGGCTATATTGATGCTACTAGTAATAATTAAATATTAAGTAATTTGTCATAGAATTAGGCATTAAGTATCATCTTTTGATAAATTTAATAATTATAACTAAATTAATATTTTAATAATTAATTTAATAAATTAATAATTGAGTAACCAGTATGGTTATCTAAATTAATAGTTTTAGAAACAAAGATCGATGGAGTCCAGGTAGCATAACTGTCAACACAACCACACAGTACACAGGAGTTGCAGGTTCAAGCCCTGCTTTCAGCCAATTCTTTTCTTTCAAGAACCTTCTAAATTAATTATTAAAATATTAATTTAATTATAATTACAGTGGTACATCAGAATATGAATGCTCCAGCATATGAAATTTTCAGAATATGACATGAAATTTGAACATATTTTTGCTCCACAATACGAACAAAAACACACCATATGACGTTACATTAGTTTGCAGCACCATTTTTTATTCACTTCTGTTCATCGGTCTCAGTCCACGTGTTTGCTTTGTCATGGAAGGATCTTGCTCGATAAAGGAAATCTTGAGGTATTATCAGAAAGTGACTGATTTTATTGAAAATAAACATCCCGCAAAGGTTCACACTGGCTGTATTGCTGCTCAGTTTAATGACATTTGCCTAAGTAATTTTAGAAACATTTTAAAAAGTAGGCAAAGCCAAACCTCTTTGGATAGATATTTTACCAAGCGACCTCTATCCAGTGAAAGTGCTGGTGGAAGTGAAGGAAAGAAAGCAAAAAGCAGTGAATAAAAATTTTTAAAAATATATAAAACAACACTAATTTTTTTTATCTTTTCTAAGTTATTTTTAAGTTATTGTTACATTATGTTATGTAAGTTAAGTTTTAGTATCATTTCCCTTCTCCCCCTCTTCCGCCACCAGTTTACACCTCCACCATCATCTATCCTCAAAGGTGAAGTGCAAATAAAACTACATTTTTTTAATCAATTATTATTCTATTATGGTTATTTATACATTTACAACTACAAAATGCATTTTTCAGTGTTTTCCTTACTATAGTTGTTATTTTTTAATGTACTACTTAGCTTTAATTTGAGTGTTTTTTTCGTGTTTGAACGGATTACAGTGGTGCCTCATATAACGTACTTAATTCGTTCCAGGTGCACGTCCATTAAGTGAAAAGTCCGTTATACGAAACACATTTTTCCATAGAAATACATGTTAAAACATATAATTTGTTCCGCAGCATAAAATAACCATACTGTACCATAAAAAAATGAAAATGGAACAGTCACCAATTATGCCGGGTAGTCAGATGCTGTGAGGAGGTGGAGGAACACTTTCTCTACATATTCATACAGATACAGACTTTTTACACATTGCAGCAGGTTTCTTTTTATTGTTTTTTAATCGGAGTCAGATTCAGGAGAGGCTACCGGAGCTTGCAGGGTCATCTCCTCTATTTCCATCCTTTGTCTTTTGGCAACTTGATTCTTGAAAAACATGTCCAAGGTGGTCTGTTTCTCTCTCTTCTTCAACACCTGTCAGAAATGACAGGCAAGGATGTCATTGTAGAAATCATTGATACTGTTGGCCTCAGCTCTGTTTGGATAATGAGTGTTGGTAAACTCCTGAACCTCTCCCCATTCAACAAGGAAGATTTTGTCAACTTTTACTCCTTCTGATGATTTCTTGTATTGTTTCAATTGAAATCACTTTTCTGTTTTTTTTTTTTTTTTTTTTAGAAGCCACGATTTGCACACCACTTGAATAGATGTAAATACCTTGCACTATGTTGATGTACCTAATAAACAAGGGAGCAAGCCGAATCCCAATGGGAGCTCTGTACTTCAGATATACTGATAATATATTCTAATAATACTAATATATTAGCAGATTGCCATTGGCAACCACAAAAGAGTGGAAACATCATTTGCACTTGTTCGTAGAAAGTCCATTGGTCGCCTCATGTAACTGCCGAACGGAAAGTCCGTTGTCCGCAGCCAGTCTGTTGCTCGAGTCACATAACGGCCAAACAGAAAGTCCGTTGTTCACAGCATCCGTTATTCGAGGCGTACGTTATACAAGGCACCACTGTATTTGGTTTTACATGTAATCGTATGGGGAAAAATGATTCACCTTACAACATTTTCATGATACGATTTCAGTTTCGAAATGGGTTAATTTCATATCCTGAGGTACCACTGTTTTAAATTTATCAAGAGGTAGAACCTATTGACTACCTCTTGATAAATTCATCAAAGGTCATCAAACTCAGTTCATCCAGCCCATTGCTGCATTGTGCCACAAATGAGATAAAATATAATTATTTATAGGGAAATATAGATTGTAGATAAACTTCTATGTAAAAAAAATTAAAATAAGTGTAAGTAAAAGTGCCAAAATTGGTCCAATCTGATGTTTGCATCTGACAGTAATATAATTTTTAGATATATCAGTGAAATTAAAAATTCTGCAACATTTTGTGACTGGATATCAGAACACTTTTTGTGTAAGTACCTGCAATGAAGTTTCTAAGGGAAGTTATTACGAGCTTGCTGCAGCGATCATGTTTGTGTATTGGTAAATAAGTATGCCCATTGTTTTTATTTATTGTATATTCAGTGTGCTGTACTGAACAAAATAGTTAAGGCCTGCATTTGTCATTCTCTCAGTTATTTGGCCTGCTGTGAAAAAAGTTTGGTGACCCCTGCTGTAGGCTAAACTGCTTAACATTTAATTGTTAATATAGTTTAATATAATCTGGCAATCATTTGTTTTTAAACTAATACCCAAGTTTTTAGATGTTTATATTTGTAAATAATGTAATTTAGAACAGTGGTGCGCAAACTGTGGGTTGCGACCCACAGTTTTTTAAAAGTATTTTTCATTAAACAAATATTAAATATTTATTTAATATAATGGGTATATAATTTAATATAATACAAATGGGTACAAAATTTATACCCATATGTGTAAATAAAACCATTGTTTCATAAAATTGTGTGTTTTATTCAGACCTCTAATAAGGCATCATAGGAGGTGGTGACAGGCTGCACTCATAGGTATAGTCCCGGAACTGGAAAAGGAAGGAAGAAGAAAGTTTGTTTGAGTAGGGGGTAAGGCGAAGGTGAAAAGAAGTGAGATAGGTTAGTTGAACATTGTTGAGGGATTCATGATGCCTGCATCGCATTTATTTCGAATGTAAACAGAGTACAAATATATTTACAAAGATGAGCATATATAATCAGTAGTACATAATTTTTGTGGTGCGACAATAGAGAACTACATTTGCATTTCGCATACATAATACAAGTTTGTATAGCTGACATAAATTTGTACAATACCTTTTGCAGATACCGTTTGCAGTAGTAACATATGGGTAGGATCCCGTTAATTGGCTACAGAAGGTATTAGGTTACCTTAGAAGGACATTACAGTGCCAATATGTCAATACTGTACCTGAAGCTGCAGCTGGCCCACAGGGAAACAATAATGCGCACTGTTTGGCATGTAACGGAAAATGCGTTACTGTAAAACCGACAGAATTTACCTTTAAGGATGAGTGCCAAGTAAGTACTTACAAAGCGTTACCAAAGAAGACAAAGTATTAACGGTGATAAGAACAGTTGAGGTGGATTGACCACTAAGACGACGTTACACTGTGAAAGATTTACCGACACAAAGATCATACGCGTAAGATGGAACCTGCACTGAGGAACAGCGTAAACACCCACAGGGATGCTCAGTCAAGAATATTAATGTCCATTGCAAAAGTCTTCAGGGCTTTGTAGATATTCCTGTTGTTTACCAGGGTTTTACCGTGACATGACCAAAGTTTGTTTTCTTTTTGGGCCGTGGATTAGTACCTTTCGCTGTGCGTTGTACATTGGGCAGTGCCACATGACATGTTTTGGCTATTCGTCTTTGTGGGGGAGCAAGGGCACTTTCCATTGGTCTTCCACAGGAACCTATTCAGGCAACTGAGGAAGTTACTATGCCTGGTGAGAAGTTGAGTGACCTGGAATGTGGGGGCGAGATTCTTGAAGTGGCTCCTCTGGAAGACATCGGGGATGAAGTTATAAGTCATCCTGCCTGTAGAGCTGCTGTCCCACTTTTTTTGCCAGCACTTTCATGAGTAGTTGCGAATGCTCTGCTTTAGCCATATGACTGGGGTGCCCCCATAGAAACTTCTCTGTTCCAGACAGGTGCCGAGTGGGCCAAGAGATCGGCCCTTACATTGCCCTGAATGCCAGAGTGACCCTTCACCCAGGTAAACTTGATGCTTGGACTGCCCCTTAGTGTGAGTAAAAGGCTGACATTTTCTTGAATTATTGGCAGTTTAGTGTTTAGTTTCTTCAGTTCCAACAGAGCAACTCTGCTGTCACTTAGGATCACAACGCTAGTGATATTTTGAGCTTCCTTGTTATCCATGATCCATAGTAAAGCCTTGTGGATAGCAAAAGACAGTGGACGGCCTGGTTGACAGTGCAGTGACTGGCCAGCCTAAACTGAGCGTGGTGGATGTATGTGTTGTTTTATGCCACAACAATGGAGCACCCCACCCCCACGTCAGATTTCAACCTGTCAGTGTATATACAGAGGCCGTCAGGGACATCGACACCCTCTAGAGTGAACAGTTCATCAATAGTGGTGTTAGGATGGTGGACAAAATGTAGAGGATTGTAGTCCAACTGTACTTAGACAAGTGCTCAGAGATGCATGTTGAAGCTGGGCCTACTTCAATTTGACTTATGATTTTGTTAAAATGATCGGTTTTAATAGTCCCAGAGGCCAGCTTTAGCTGATGGAATGTCCAAACTCTTTCTTTTATGACTATGTCTATTGGAAATAAGTTACCAATTGCCAGGAGTGCGTTGGTCATGACGGTCTTGTAAGCTTTGGTTATCATAATGAGGGCAAGCCTCTGAGTTGAAAGGAGCTCCTTTTTTTATGTGAACCTTGGTGATCGAAGTCCCCCAGACCTCTAATAAGACAGAAACATAAGTGCAAATCCCAGAAAGAATTTCACTTTAACTACATTAACAATTAAAAAAAGGCTACTGTCTATCCAGGAGTTGCGACAAAATTTTACACAAAAAGGTGGAATTGGAAATGAAAATAGTTTGCGCACCACTGATTTAGAACATATTTGATTTGGATTTAGTAATTGCAATTTATGGTGAAAATTTACCAATTAATTAATACATAAATATTAATCATGATACTATGGTACTGATTTAGACATTAAATTATAATTAAAGAAAAAATTAAGACCCAAAAAAAATAAATTACTTAACACGTGTCTGGAACTGAACGCGTGTTTTATAAATGCTGAATGTTCTGATACAACATTTCACAGATTTGATTATTATTATTATAGGGATTTGATTTGAAAATTTTTTAGAGAATTCCATAATTACTGTATCTGAAACTTTTATTTATTCTATTTTTAAAAGTGGATTTGTTAGGTTTAATTTATTGTTTGAAAATCTGTTTTCAATTTTGAAAGGAAAAAAGAAGAGAAATATTCCAACCCAAAAATTAATATTTTTATATTGTAGCAATGTAATATATAATTCTTATTTGATTATTAGGCTATGGGACATGATGCAATACCACGGGAACCTCAAGGTAGGAGTCCTGCAGCAATTGAGTTTGGAAAATATGACATCCAAACTTGGTATTCATCACCGTATCCACAAGAATATGCTCGGTAATTTGATATTAATATTTTAATTTAAAAATCTATAATTCCATATATTTATTTGATTCAACAACTTTTAATTTTAGGTTGCCAAAATTATTTCTTTGTGAATTCTGTCTAAAGTATATGAAGAGTAAAAGTATTTTATTAAGGCATATGGTAAAAAAAATTTTTTTTTATACTTAAAATAGGCAATATCTATGAAACACAAGTTATATTTTTTTATTAAAATTCTAGATACATTTTTCTTCTCTATTAAACATTTGTTACTTTGTGACAATTGTATGAATAAAACTTGATTTAAAAAAAGTAATGTGTTTTCTTCCATTTAAAATTAAAGATTTTATAGAAAAATTTATGTTGTATAGATAAATTTAAGGACTATAATGATAGAAATCTGTAAAATTGAAAAGATGATAATGCTATTTATAATGTAATCAGAAAGATTTTACTTTTATTTAAAATTTTTTTTAAAAGTTTATTTAAAATATGTTTAAGACTTAAGTAATTATAACATTTAAGTTTTGATCCATTCCTTTTGAATGCGCTTCATAAGATTTTTGACAGTATTTCCTTTAATCATTATAACATCTTTTTTCCACTCCAGAGAAAAATCTTTAATATCTTTTGCTCTTTGTCTGTTTTTTTTTTTTTTTTTTTTACAAGATAAAATATTTCTATTGGTTGTCATTGTGGTACATTTGGTAGATTCGTGTCTCTAGGTACAAAATCTATTTTGTGCCATTCTAGCCAACTTACTTTGGATTTTACGTAGTGTATTGTTGCCAGATCTGGCCAAAAAAAGTATGGACATCATGATTTATTATAAAGGAAGAAGACATTTTTTAATTCATTATTTATTTTTGACAGACGTTTTCAATTTCGTGAAAAGTGAAACTATCCTCTGCTCCTTGTACAGGTGGTGGCAACTTTGGAATTTCAAATCCCTAATATTTTTTATTTTTGGATTCTCAATTAAAGAACGATTAGGTTTTATTTAAAATGCCATTTTTTTCAAACGTTATGAATTTTTTAGTCATATTTTTAAAAAGAAACAGTTAAAAATATGTAACCAACTGTAAAGGAAGTTACTCTAGATCAGCATTTCTCAAAGTGGGCAATAACGCCCCCTTGTGGGCGATGAGTAGATCTAGGGGGCGCTGGAGGCAGGTTATTGAATGGTGACCAAAGGCAAAATTGGTGTCACTGAAAGGAAACATTGTGTTTAATGGTTTCCAGATGTTGAGAACAATGTATGGTAATGGCATAAAGTGTGAGATTAATAGAAAAGTTTTCCTAAGAATATTTCCAATCCTTTCTCACAAGAGAAAATGGGTTAGGGGGCGTTGGGTATAACTTTATGGAACAAAGGGGGCGGTGGATCGAAAAAGTTTGGGAATCACTGCTCTAGATGCATACTTTATTCTGTTTAAAAACAATAGTATTTTTAATGGGAAATGCTTTAGTTTTCAAAACTTGTAATCCTTCAGAAGAATAAATTGTACTTATCATTGTTTATCATCGCACATTGGAGATTAGCTCCATCAGTTGATCACATAGTAACAAACATCAGTGGAAGTTAATTGCTGAATGCAAAATGTGTGACAATTTTTGTTTTCATTTAGCACTACAGGAGAAAATAGTTAATCTTATAATTTTAAACTGTAATAAAAAAAGAAATTATGCAAATAATGAAATTTTATGCAAAGTCATAAGGCTTCTTTTGGTGTTCTAGCCAAAAACTGAAATGAGAGTAACATATTTAGCCAAACAGTTATCTGAGATAGTTATGAAATTATATATTGAGAAAGCAGAATGCACAAGAAACAATACTCAGATTTCATCAGCCTTTTTCTACTGCTCACTGTTCTGTGCATTCAACAATATTGCATATTATTCATTAAGAGAATGTAGCACCCTTGTTAGGGTGAGCAGGACTAGGACACAGTTCTCATTGATGATTCGCCTTTCATTTGTACATATCCACATGCTAGTGTATGAGATGCTGCTACAGAATCAGAGCTTCATGAACAACAATAATATTTTACATTATCATTAGTTTTTATTCATATTCATGTTTTATTCAGCAAGCATTGTACAGTGATGACAGGGCTTGGCTATATGATGATATAATGTATTTTTCAATCTTGTGAAGATCATCTGAACATTTATGAACAAATTCTTTGGATTGATGATTCTCTGTTTACTTGGAATAGTATGATGAACTGTCACAACATGCATCTCTGAGCTATGCCAAACCTATACTGCACAAGAGATGTGCAGCATTAAGTTTGATTTCATGTAAACTTATGGTGTGGTATTTGGAATAAGCATGACATTGAAACAGTCTTCTTGAATAGTAAGCACTGCTTGCAACATTTGAAGGTGGTTGTGAACATTTTGCTTGATGACTTACTATTGTGTCAACTGAGGAAGTATGGTTTCATTGTGATGATGCAATAGATCCTGGAACATAAATTCTTAGTCAGTGGCACAATGAGAGATTTGGAGCACATTGGATAGCACCTTAAGGATTGCTGGAATGGTCTTCTTGCTTGCCCGATTTCTCTACTACAGACATCTTATATAGGGCTATTTATAGGAAATTGTTTGCCAAATACTAACATGATATGATTCAGATTTGATAGATTAAATTACATAAGCATGTAACATTGACAATGCAAATGCTTAGTAATGTGCATGATGCTAAAGTAAAATGCATGCAGACCTAAATTGCAGCTGATGGAAGTTGCTTTGAATACAGTTTGTTTAAGTTGATGAACCTTTATCATTCTGCACAAAGCACTTTTTTTATTCTCAGGTAGTAATTAAATGTTTTCTTTCTTTTATGTTTACTGTGATGGAGAAAGTCTTCCACTGCATTGTCATTAGTTTTAAAGTTGTTATTCAAGATTTTTATTTTTTTATAACTTCTTTAATTTTGATTAGTTTTTCACACAAATCATCTGCTATCCCTGCTATGGAGAAGAGTGTTATAAGTTGCATTTTAAATAATAATTATGGTTAGTTTAACTATTCTGTATATTCTCTAAACTTTATAAATAGATAAATACAATTTTTATAAATAAACATCATAAAAAATGTTATTAATTTTTATTTCTAATGGAACCTAATTTTAATTTTTTTCTCACAAGGTTAATTGTGTTTCATGGAAATTTCCTACATTTGTAACTTTAATAAAACTGTATATAATTTATATGATTAATATCAGTTAATTCATAATTATTTACAGCATAAGTGTACCTGGACTCATCCACCTGCTACGGAAATCTATCGCAAAGACGATCTTTCGGTATTTGAAGTGGATGGAAATGTAAACAAAATATATTGTCAAAATCTCTGTTTACTAGCAAAATTGTTTTTAGATCATAAGACGTTATACTATGATGTTGAGCCATTCCTATTTTATGTTCTTACAAAAAATGATAATAAAGGATGCCATCTTGTAGGATATTTTTCAAAGGTAAGTTCTTACAATAATTTCTATTTAATTTAAATATCTCAAAATAACAGTTTTAAATAATTAATTAATACTTTTCAATTTTGAAAAAAATCTAAAGTCTCTTTTCTTATAATAATTATTTAAACACTTTTATAACTTTTTTTATAATATAAAACATTGTTACAAACTTTATGCATTGTATAGAATATAACAGAACCATGCAATTGGAAAAACAATCATGACTGTAAATTATAAATGTGTTTTGAGTTAAATTGAGTGGGTTATGAAATGATTATAAATATAAATTTACATAGCTCAAGCTATCATAATTTGAAATTATTTGTATTTTTAAAGTGTGCATCATAATTATATGAAAACTTCGATTGCTATTAAATATATTTTTTTTATTTTTGGTGTGAATTTATTAGAAATAAATTTTTTTTTATTTCAGGAGAAACATTGTCAACAACGTTATAATGTATCATGTATTATGACAATGCCACAGTATCAACGGAAAGGATATGGAAGATTTTTGATTGATTTTAGTAAGTAAACCAAAATCAAACTTAAAAAATTATTTTTAAAATTTGTTTGATGTTTCCTTATGTTCTAAAAATGGTGGTTTCATTCAAAAATTAAAATACAAATCAAGTTTGAAACAACAGTGGATCTTGATATTATATGTTAGTTTTGAAATCTGCAATGTTCTATCAAAACATCTTCCATAAATAGCTTTATATAAAATATTTAATGTGAATAATTGTGAATTTTATTTAAAATTGTAAAGGTATCATCAGACTTTATTAAACAACAATGAATCATCATATAACAGAAAATTTACTTATTTTATAAAATTTCATTCTTCAGTTCATTCAATATTTATTGAGTGAATTGAAGAATAAAATTTGAGTGTTTAGATAGGATTTTAGGTATCAAAAGCTTAATTTTAAAATGGAAATAATAAACTTAGATCATTTTAAAATGTACATTTAAATTTTATACTATTAAATTTAATTTCATATTTGCCATTGTACTTGTCATAATATTCAGAGATAACTTTGAAGTAGATTGAGAATATGTTTGAATTATTTAGTGCTGTATTACTTTACACTAGTAACTTGAATAGATATCTTATAATTTATCATATATTGAGATTAATTTTATCATTTTTAAGAAAAGACTTTTGAATAATATAATAATAATAATTTTATAGTATTTTAAAAACATTTTATGCTTTTTATAGGTTATTTATTATCACAAAGAGAAGGTTTGCACGGTACTCCAGAAAAGCCATTGTCAGATTTAGGTCGTATTAGTTATATGTCTTACTGGAAAAGTGTAATATTAGAATATCTTCATACTTTTAAAGAAAAATCTATTTCTGTTAAAGGTAAAAATATATTTTAATACATAATTGAATTATTTATTCATTGTTATTTTTAAATTGTTTTCTTTAATTACTTGTAAGTTTATTAAATGTATATATTTGTAATTGTAATAAATCTAATTACGGTTAGTTGCATCTTATATTAAAAGTTGCATAGAGTTCAGATTTGAAAAATGATTGTAACAAAAATATTCAAAATACAAATTTTTGAAACGAATTTATATCAAATAAAAATTGTTCTGTGGATACAAAATATTATTAGGTAGTGTGTCTAATGCATATGAATAAGAACTTATTAAGTAATGACACATTAGAGATGCATGATCTTATATAGAGCTTTTTTACTTATTTTGCATTCCTTAGTTGAGATGTTTGTGTTTATTTTACAAATATACATGTTTTCTTTTACTGTTTGTAAGCAATCCAAAAGGTAAATGAGGAAAAGATTAGAAAAATATCACTTAAAAACAGTTAGTAAAGATAGTTAATTATATAGTTATTTTTCTGATATGTTTGGGTCATACTCAACAGCACCCCTTTGTGTTAGGTCTGACACCATTGTTGACTTCTGGTTTACAGGAATCTTTCAATAAATGTACGAGTGGCCATGTAGGAAACTGGGAACTAATTGACAAGGAACAGAGGAGGAAATTGAGAGACAGAGAACTCTGTAGTAATCCACTCCATGACACAATTAACAATAAAATAACAAATATTTATTTTTTCAGCTGAACATTAAATACAAGAAAAATGGAAATAGAGGGAGCGTCTAAACCTCTATGCATTCCTATCAAAGAGAGAGTGTGTTTACAATTTTGCATATGACAATAAATACCTTTGAAGTCAGGCAATTGCTTGCTGGCTTGGGTTTCCAAGGGAAGAAGAGTCTTAAGACCAGATTGTAATATCTGTAATATCATATTAGTATCTAGAATCAATCACAAATATTCCAAGTTAACAGTTCTCTAGCACAGAGCAACCAAGGCCCAGTAAAACAATGGGAATTGAGAAGATTAGCAGTAAAGGAGTTCTGTGGGTGGAGGGTTATTGCCTTGATGAACGAATGGATGAACTTTATCTTTGTCTCTCCTCTTTCACCTTTCCTTTTATTTGGATCTTGCCCCTCTCCTTATGCCCAAATTTGGGGAACTTGTGTAGGGAGCTGGCTGATCCAATCTCTGATTTTTGGAAAAAGTTCCTTTAATGAGTAGGTTTTTCTGGAAGATTTATCATTTACAAAGGAAATGTTATCATATAAAAAATCTTATGAATGTCCTCTGTTATTTGTCATCTCAACTTAAATGATTTCTTTCTTTGAATAAATATTAAATACTTAAATTGCCTGAATTACAAAAATGCTAGCCTGGGTTCTCACATGTGCCTTTTAATTTCAAGGTTTAATTCTTCCGTTGATATAGTCAGTATCAACTATTTTTGGTGTTTATATCTATTATTTTAAAATGATGTCAATATTTTCAAATCTTATAATATAGCCTATTAGTTTAATCAGTTGAAACTTTTTTAAATACCACATATATACACTAATATATAAAGCAAGAGTGTTTGTTTGTTAGAGGTAATCTTGGAATGTACTGAAACAATTTTTGAAATTTTTTTGCTATTGAAAAGCTTATTCCTTTCAGATGAACATAGGCTATATATTATTTTTATAATTAAAAAGGAGCATGAATAAGAAACAAAGAACAATGTTTTTACTGACACATTTGTCTTGCATTGTCTGTTTTGTTCAAGGTCTATTTCCTTTGCCACCTGGTGGGCTTTTTAAAACTTATTATCTTATATTTGAGGTTTCGGTTTTGATTTGTGCAGTTCAAGTAGTTGTGTATATGTCTTTGTTTATATTGTTTTGGTTGTTCATTTCATATAATAATTCTTTTATGTTATTTACTTACTTACTTATACAGTGGGCGATCGATTAATGAACATAATCCGTTTCAATATTGCATTTGCTACCCAAGTTGTTTGTTAATCAATTATTGATTTATCGTAGATTTTTATGAGAATTTGATTAATTCATTCTGGAAACCCCAAAAATTAATTAAAAATTATATACAGTTGTCCCTTGATAGTCTGACGTTTTGTAATCTGACATGCTTAATAGTTCAACACACCTCCTGTCAAGGTCACCATAGTCTCCATCCCCGTTATATGTCTGCTTGCACAGAAGCATGTCACAACATGAATCTCCTCCCCCCAATTCTTACATGATGACACACATTTTGTGTGTTTTCTGTGAGCAGTTCTGTTCGAACAGTTGAAGTAGAGAATATTGTATACTACTGCTAGCAAAACAATGCTAAATATGTAATCACTTTTGGTAATCCAACATCCCTTTAGTCCCGTACCTGTCGGATTATCAAGGGACAATTGTACTGTAAAGTACTATATTATTTTTCCGACTTTTCCAACGATTATCGATACTACTGTGTGCCGGAAATAGCCGTTCCCTAACGGGTACTTTACGCGGATTCGCGTTAATGTGCCAGGCCTGGACTTTAAGCGTGCACCGAATTAAATAATGACAAAGTTTGTCAATAACAAAATCAAATATTTAATTAAACTTCTAGTAATAAACTATATACAGTATTTAGTAAAAATCAAACAATAATTTATTCAATGAAATTCAACAAGAATCAATCCGACAAACTCAAATCAATCTATTTCTAACTTAATTCTATTCCCCTTTGGAATTCGACAAAATCAAAGAATTAACTTATAAACAATAATTCTTATAAATTAAAGATCCTAATCGTCACCTCAATATACTAGGAACCTATTTCCTCAAACTCTCAAGCCTTTCTATAATCGTCGATCCACAAATCGAATAACTTCAAAATCGCCTTGGAACTATTTGATCCAATCGGACACCTCTCTCGATCACTGCTACGAAGCTCACCAAAGCTCGTTGCTATCAGGAATTCACCTCGTTCGTTTTCACTTGAGTTAGAGGCTTTATAGTGTGAGGTGACGTCACAATTCTGAATGAGATCACTCTCCTCATTTACATACTTATCTGTAACATTAAATTTTTCTCGTTTATCTGGCAGCTTATTTTCCGACAATACTTCGCTAACCTTTTACATTATTCTTTTTTAACAATTATCGGGATGCTTTATTCTTTTAAGATTTAGCGATTCCTAACTGGGTTGTGGGGTCTCCCCCCCCCTTTTTCGTCGGTGCGGACTTACTTTTTTCTGCTCGGGAAGCGCAAGTGTGTGCGAGTTTTTCTACGGCGCTTTTCTTTCGTCGGTGAGTTGGTTTTTCTTCTATTTTTAAGTTACTAAGGTGAATGGTGAGGAAACCTAACAAAACATAAGCCCCAAAAAAAAAATAGAATAATAAGCAAAATAAAAGTAAATAAAAATAACATTCGGACTTGGTTCCTTACAGTACTTTCTTACTACATATGTATTTTTATTATTATATATAAATATATTGTATTTACTCGCGTACAAGACAATCTTGCATATAGGATTAGGTGTGACTTTAAACAGCAAAATAAAATTAGATTTATTAATACAGGGTGTATTGACCTGATTTTAAAACTATATTTGTTGATGGAAATATACTACAAAGCAGGGACAAAATGCAAAATACTCACAAAATCTTAAAGTTTCAGTTATGTTATTACAAATACTTTTGTGTCCACCAATAGCTGCACAAACAACATCTAGACCAGTGGTCGCAACCCAAATGCATTGGTGTGCCACAAAACATGTAATTGAAAATACTGGAGATTACGCGTGCCACTAAAATAAAATTATAAAATTTATTGCACATTAACACATTTTTATTTAGCTATAAAATACATACTATATAAAAATATTATTAAAAAATTACAATATTTAAACATTAGTGACTCCCTTGTGATTCAATTTTAGAAGCTAACACATCAATAGTTTGAAGTTGGTTCATAGTTTGAAGTTTTTAATTTTATGCACAATTGGCATGCCACTCATCTTCCTCTTTTTCAGAAGAAAACAAATCTCACTAAGTTTCTTGGTGCTTTTCATTCAAGATGTCTTTAAATTCTTCTGTTGTCAGATCAGTTTTAGGTTTCATTATGAGCTCTTCAAAGTTCTTTGTTTATCAGATGTGATTTTCGTTACTCCTTTAGCTGCCTGAGTCTTCTTGATTATATCTTTCTTAGCTAAGATTGTGCCTACTGTAGACTTGTTCAAGTCATACTGCCTAGCAACATCACACGTCTTTTGCCCACTCTCTACCTTGGCTATTATCTCTTGCTTGGTTTCTATGGTGAGCACAGTTCTTGACACACCACTCTTTTTAGGCTCCATAATATTATCAGTTTCTTTTTATTTAAAAAGTTCAGAAAAGCACTTACAAAAATTCAGAGAATAGAAATCAACTAGCACACAAAAAAATTATGTAAATGTGAGGCCTGGCTGAAATTAAAAATTTGGTGTTAAAATGTTAATGAATATCTGATGGAACAGTTAAATTCTCACTTTTTGAAAATAAAAACGATGCAAAACGTAATTAATGAGTGCTTGCCCAACTATCTCACAAAGACTATTGAGGTGTTTGTTGTCTGTACATAAAAAATTTTTGTGAAATTGTTTGTTGTCTGATTTGTTGGCAGTTCAAACTTTTCATTAATCGATCACCCACTGTACTTACAACTATAAGGAGTGAATTTACTTCCCTTATATAAAACTAAACTTTTATAAATAGGCCTACAGTATTTTTATTTTTTCATTGTTTGTTTTAGTATTAATCCTACTGTACCATTATTTAAAAATAAGAATTATTCTTATGTTATCAGATATCTACGTACATAAGTTGAGTTTTTCATTACTTTTCCAGATGCACACATGTGCTAATGAGGGCACAATTCCAGATGCAAGTGACACTGTTAGGATTTTAACAAAGCTGTAGAGAATCTGCCCATAGGAGCAAAAAAGTCAAGGAAACCATACTCTACATGTGACCCTTTCTGAGATCCCCCAAAATCAGTCGCA